CCATGTGCCATTCTTATTCAAAATGTCTTATTTGGTAGAAATTCATACAAAATAGATGTGACTAATAAACACATATACTGGTCATCTTCAATCAGTTAATCTAAATGTTAACATTGTTTTTCTTGACTAAACTTCTTTATAGTATTTCACCCTTCATCTTTCATGAATGAAAACAACAGATCTAGAAAGTGACATTGTTACACACTCACAAACAAACACACACACAAACACAGTTAATCAGACAAGTCCTTACCTGAAATCACAGCACTTGCCACTCCACAACTGTTTGTCTTCTCTCTTTCACTCCACCGCTTTCCACAGCAACTGTCTAATTGACACCCCTGCGGAGTGAGATTTGGAGAAGTGGAGGAGGTGGGTGTTGTGTGGAAACTCAGAGGAGGGAGGTGGGATTGTCCCGCTCCGGAGGCTTCTGGGGAGGAGGAGGAGAGAGGCTGGGCATGGAGAGAGCAAAAAATGCAGAGGCAATCAGAAAAGAGAGGCAAACACAAACAGACAGAGATCAAAGAGAAGCAATCTACGCTCAGACACACAGCACCACACCATTAGATAATGACAGATTGAGATCTTCCATCAAAGGGTGTGATGACGCCACTGAGAAAAAATAGCATGTTTGTTCACAAAGATCTGTCAAATCATTTTCTAAGTGTCTCTGAATGAGTAGCTGGAAAATAATATGGGCTAAACTTCTTTTTTTTTCACAATAGCCCAAAGAAAAATTATATTTTAGGTGCTGTGACACCCTTTTTCACGTGTTTCTAGTTTTTATTTGTCATATACTGTACACATTATCTACCCACAAGGTTGTGCATTAAATAGTAAAATGTATGTGCATGTTATCTAATATAACAAAAGAATGATCTAGAAATAAATTAATACATGCATTTGAAAAATAAAATATTTTAATCACCTTTTAGCTTGCTGCTGTTTACTGCATAGTCCTGTAATGTGATAAATGCACTTAAAAAAAATAATAATTATCAAACTTATATGAACTCATAAAATATGACTTTAAAAACTACTTTTTTTCTTCAAAATAACTATATTTTAGGTTTATTTTTCAAGTGTCAAGTTTTTATTTGTCACATACATGTTACCTACCCACATGATTGTGCATAATATGTTTATAATAATACAATATTTGACCTAATATAAGAAAGGAAATTATTAATGTACAAAGAAAGAAAGATTAAGTGCAAACTCTTTGTTTTCTGTATTAAGCACCTTTTAGCTTTTTGCTGTTCACTGCATAGTTATGCAGTGTGATAAACACATTTGAAAACACTAATTAATTATACAAATTAAGTCATACAAATGCATTTATGTAATAACTAGAAAATGTTGTTGGAAGTAGTTTTATTTCTCACAAATCCTCATAAAAGTAGCAAATAATGTGGGCCAAACTTTTTTTAAGATAACACAAAAAAACTCTTTATTTTAGGTGCTGTGACACCATTTTTCAAGTGACAAGTTTATATTTGTTGCATATTTAAAGGTTCACTCACATGGTTGTGCATTAAATACAAAATATGTCTGTTATCTAACATACGGTAAGAATATAAGAAAAGAAAATGTACAAATGTACAAAGAAGTAAAAAATGATTTCATTCTTTTTCGAGCATCTTTATAGCTTTTGCTGTTCACTGCATAGTCTGCAGTGTGATAAATGCATTTAAAAATACAAATGCAAATGAATTATCAAACTTACATGCAATTATTAAAATGCACATATAAATAGAAAGTGCAGTTAAAAATAGTTTTAAAGGGGTCATATGATGCGATTTCAAGTTTTCCTTTCTCTTTGGAGTGTTACAAGCTCTTGGTGCATAAAGAAGATCTGTAAAGTTGCAAAGACTAAAGTCTCAAATCCAAAGAGATATTCTTTATAAAAGTTAAGAGTCAGCCACACCTACCTAAAACG